GAAGCCCCAACCATAAATCAATTAACAACCAAGGGAAGACAACAAAGCCCTCTCAGTTCTAAACGAAGCAACCGACCACAAAAACAGTCACAACGACGACTACACACGACAACCACAGGCGTCAGCAAACGGAGAGATCTTCACACTGCAAACTCTTCACCGACAGTCCAAGAGTGGTCGTCGATGAAGAGAAAAGAAAAAACACGTCCAAGAGTGGCCGGATCGAAAAACGAACAGCGATCCCTTCACGAGCTAGTACACACCCTAGCACCGCGGTAGCAACATCAATGGCCGGATCTACGCTCTGATACCATGTGAAAATGCAAGACTATAGAGAGAGATGATAGAGTGAGAGAGTAGATGGATGATACAGAGAGAGAGAACATATTAGAGGCGCTGCCCTCTACTTCATATCTTTCAACCCTAAAACATAATAAGGTATATATACAATAAAAGAAAGGCCTATTTACATAATGGCCACAAACCCTATATCTAATTACAATAGAACCCCAACATAAATACAAATATACATATAAATGTTCTAACACCGTCAAACAATCTATACTGTCACAACCAAAATGAGTTCAATTGTGATTGACCTTCACGCTAAAGAAATTTTATGTTGAGAAAACTTAAAGCAAAACACATGGTTTTGCCAATATTTACAACGATACATGGTTTGTTAAAATGCCAATGATTACTGAACCATGTGTCAATCCTTGCTGCTTATAAAAATTACATAATGGATAGTTGAATTGGAAGCTTCAAAACCAGAAAAGCCACCCTTTTAGAATTCTGCTTGTAACTTTCAGAGACGAAGGCCAATCTTGAATGTGGTTTTGGCATGTGTCCATTAAACCAAATTCAGAATTATACAATATTTGAACTTATGTCTATGATACAATTCTCAAATTGTGATTGTTATGGAGGCTATACAAAAGCCTTCAAAGCGACAAACCGAGGAGAGAGAGAACTGGTAGACAAGAGAAAGAAATTGAAAAGGAGGTAGGTAGGGCAGACCAAGGAGAGTGAGAACTAGTAGACGAGAGAGAGAGATTGAAAAGGAGGTAGGTAGGATTAGGGTTACCCATGTATGGGTGTTCATATGTATGCATGTATAAGGGTTGAGTTATATTTAATTTGAGAGAGAGAGAGAGATGTAAGAAATAAAAAATGGTTCATATGGAAAATTTGATTAAATTTGATCTTTTAAAAAGGCTACTTTAGTCTTTTTAGTTTTCCTTGACTTCCCAATTAAAACAATGTTAAGAAAAATAAGGGCACAATGGTAAAGAGTCAACAAACAAGGGAGGTCAAAGTAATTTTCGAAAACTAAGGGGTACATTGTGTAAGTTTGTTAATGTAAAAGGCCAAATGCAATTTATCCTTGAATTTAATCTTATACTGAAATTTCTTAATACACAGATGCAGTTTCTCAGTAACATTGGGTAGAAACTTGCTATGTTTGTTAATATCACTCGCATTAAGTCATGACTTGATTGTCTTGCTTGTATAACCAACAGGGGCTAAACCAACCACAAATCTTACCATGTATGTGCCATTATACCAGGCTGCACTCACAGGTGATTGGAACAGCGCTAAAGAATTTATCAGGTTGCATCCAGGTGCACTATCTGCTAGGATCACAAAAGGTGGGGAAACAACCCTTCACATTGCAGCTGGGGCCAAACAGACCGAGTTTGTGGGGGAGTTGGTCGAATTGATGGATACAAATGATGTAGCATTGCAAAACTACTCTGACAATACAGCACTTTGTTTTGCTGCTGCATCAGGAATTACAAGGATTGCAGAGATGATGGTGAAAAAGAACACGAACTTACCCGCAGTGAGAGGTAGAAAGGTAGTTACAGCACTCCACATGGCTGCTCTATTAGGTTATAGGGACATGGTGCAATTTCTATACACAGGCACTGATGATAAAGATCTAACAAAGGAAGACTACATCGCACTACTACTTGCTACCATCAGTTCTGATATGTATGGTAAGGCTACATTCTACTTTCAATGCTTTCATATTGAAGAAACTACTTTGAACAACCTAATCAACTCTGTCCTGTTATTCTTAGATGTAGCTTTGGAAATACTCCATCCCCGACCAGAATTAGCCATTCAGCGGGATTCAAATGGTGAGACAGCCCTTCATGTTTTAGCTTGAAAGCCTGGTGCATTTTCTGGCACAAGTCAACTAGGAATCTGGCAGAGACGTATATATTCATGTTAGTTTTTTCATTTTCTTGTGAATTCATATTCTTGCTACACTTATAATCATCATAATGCTTTACACAACTAAGATTCATTATGTCACATCTATTGTGAATGTTCTGCCACCGCTGGGCTACCATCATGGCTCAATAGCAAGGTTGTTCACCATGCTAAATCAATTTAAGTTTTAGCTTGAATTGCAAGCTTGATTTCTTAGCAAGCGACATTAGGCTCACCTACCTTTGGCTCTAAAATAGTTTGGGATAGTTACAATGTTGATTTCCCTGAGATATAAGTCAATCAGTATGCCAAGGAGTTTTAACATTTTGGATCAGAAATCTTTTTGTAATTTACGTTTTGGTGTTTTTACCGTAGAAAAATAAATTCTTTTTCATACTTGAGATTAAAATGTAGAAGAAAAAAAAAAGTCCAATATGATGCTTGACACCATTGGTAAGAAGTTAGTTCAAGAGAGTAGGTTTTACTAAACAACTTGGACAATAGGAATATGAATGGGTGAAAGAATGGAGAACTTCCATAAATTTGAGTAACATTGGATAATCTAAATCATTAGTTTGTATACAGAAAATAAAACTGAACTTTATTTGTCTTGAAGGGATCCACATGCAAACACCTGATGCATCTGGCAACACCTCTAGCTTGTCCAAGTAAAGATAGAGAGTACAGACCTTGGGAGTCTATGTGATTCTGGTATTCATGTTGATAGACTTCGCAATCTTGATCAAAATCTTTTACAAGACATTACAAACATAATAAAACTATTTAACAAATTTGATTTCATTGGATTTCTTTTCTACATCTTCACTTGGTCATCGACTTACTTAGCTTTAGTTCCGACTCTAGGAACGAAGGATGTTCGAGAGGAAAAATTAGTAAGCATGCAAGCCCTAAAGTTGCTCAAGTGTCTTTGGGAACAAGTTCTGTTATTGGATCTCTCACATATGGGGGACTTACTTAGAAGCCCTTCGCGACCATTATTTATTGCCGTAGAGTTTGGAAACTTTGAGTTTATTGTTGAGCTTATTCGCTCCTATCCTGATCTAATTTGGAAAGTAGATGAGGAAAGCCGAAGCATCTTTCATATTGCAGTTGTGCATCGCCAAGAAAAGATATTCAAACTTATTTATGGCATAGGAGCACATAAGGATTTAATTGCTGTTTATAGAGATGCACAAGATAATAACATGCTACACTTGGCTGGAAAGTTGGCTTCTTCAGATTGACTTAATATTGTCTCCGGTGCCGCACTTCAGATGCAACGAGAATTATTATGGTTTAAGGTAATCGTTAGTTTGTGTTTCATAACATTTTTTAATCTTTATTTTCCATTAAAATGCATTTTTCTTTTTCTAATGTTTTATTCCTCTCCAAAGAAAAAAAAGGAAGTGGAGAAGAATGTCCTACCATTATACAGAAAGATGAAAAACACAAAAGGTGAAACACCCCGAATGTTATTTACCGAGGAGCATAAGAAATTGGTCATAGAAGGACAGAAGTGGATGAAGGATACTGCCTCATCATGCATGGTTGTCGCTACGCTTATTACCACAGTGATGTTTGCGGCAATTTTCACAGTACCGGGAGGAAACAGTAACAAAGGCACCCCCATTTTTCTTAAAGCCAAGTCATTCATAATTTTTGCCATATCAGATGCATCTGGCCTTTTCTCTTCAGTCACTTCTATATTGATGTTTTTATCCATCCTCACGTCACGATATGCCGAAAAAGATTTCCTCGGCTCCTTACCAAATAGGATGATTATTGGTCTTACAACCCTCTTCTTCTCTATAGCATCAATGCTTATTGCTTTTAGTGCAACCTTTTTCGTTCTACTTGGCAATCAACTGGCATGGATTGTCATCCCCGTGGCACTAGCTACTGCTATTCCAGTAACATTATTTGCATTTTTGCAGTTCCCACTATTGGCTGACATGATGCATTCTACTTATGGATCAGGAATCTTTGCTCGGCAAAGTAAAGATATGCTTTATTAGTTTGACAAGGGATATCATCCTTGTCATCAAGACAACTTACTTGGGGAAAAAAGGATATCACCCTGAATGTATAAGATTTATTAGAATGTTGTATTCTTTATGTGATCGAAGCACGCTAATAATTTGATATTGAAACATCCAAGGTGTGTGAAAACAATATTTTTCAAACATATCCTGTTTACTTCTATATAACTTGGTCATGTCAATATGATCTATGCTGTTCAAACTCAGGATGACTCCTCAATCAAGAGGATAACAAAACTTTGAAGCAAGAGGAGCTAAATTAGTCTACCATGCTAGAAAGAGGAGGATAATTTTATCTTGGTTCACTTTTGCATTACCCTTTAGATATAACAAGTTGCATTTCCAAGAGAGTGGCACGTACCCATAATCTCATTGGTTATTTTATTAACACAAGATAATTTGTAGATTCGACAACACAATTCAACCCTATCCCTATGACTAAGCAATACTGAGACAAGTGAGCACCACTAACGGTTCATTTAGATAAATGAATGGCTTTCAAATCAAGGGGTTTGAGTTTACGCAAAAGTTTGACCATTGAAAGTTGGATTCTGAAGTTCAAGGTGAGGATACTCCTTATATATTGTTATTTCTCTTAAATCCATTCATTTAAAATCCTCTCAAACTGATCAAGCTATATTTCTTACACCACTGAACCTAAATCCATTCATTGAAATCCTTCAATTTAAATGGAACTTTAAGTTCTCAATAGTTCGCTAAAGGAGTAAGTAACCTCCATTTTTCTTTCCTTCCACCCGACCCAACCAACTTCCCTTCCCTAGAATAATCCTTCCATCCAATTTTCCTTCCTCCTATCAAGAAAACAATAGAGTTTAGCATTATTTCGGGCAATTAGGTTCAAGTGACTCATTTGCTACGTTTTAAATCAAGATTTAATTGGTTAAAATACCAATGAATTTTCTTTTATATATATATATATAATATGTACCCAATTACTCAAATTTTATGAAGAAAAAGGAAAACCTGAAATATGGATCAACAACAGTAGATATGTTATCTATAAAGCAGAATCAATTTAAATTTTCTTTCAAAATAAACAAAATAGTATGACAGAGTATTCAAAATCTGCACATGCATGTCAGTGGGAGTGTGTGCGCGCGCGTATAGAGAGAGAATACCGCAGATAGAGCTCCGGTTTTGCCCCAATTCAGATGCGATTTAACTCCAATCGGAAACCTAGCCTCTCAAAAGTACATAAATTAAAAGAAGCCAGAGAAAATGTGTGAGCAGAGAGAGCTATAAAGAGAAAAACTGAAAGAAAGGGAGTGTATTCACCGGTCGGACGGCGTAGGATGGAATTGACTGAGTCGACCGGAGCTCCGGTCGACGTTCTGTACTTCAGCTCACATCAGAAATTTCACTGTAGTGCGAACCTAAAAGCACATCATAGACGAACTCGTTCTTTATTAAATTCTACCGTTTCTGGTAAGTTTTGTTTTATTTTAATTTTTATTACCCTGCCATTTCAATTACACAACTTGAAAAATTGGGAAAACAAATTATTTACTTATATTTACAAATTTAGAGATGTATTGATGACAAAACTTGTTTCATGCTGTTTTAAATTTGAATTGTTTAATAGAAAAAATTTAATTTTTAATTAACTAATGTATACCAAATACAACTAAATGAAGAATTTCACTTCCTTATTTATTACATAATTAATTAATTAAAAAAATAAATCTAACAATTTACTACAACTATTCAGTACAAAAATAATTTTATTTTAAATTTTGTTCCACCCCATATATATTCACACATTGTTCTTTTATCATCCCAACTCATTTAAAATTTGGTTCAGATCAACCCCTTCAAGTTGAAGGGAATGTAGTTCAAAGAAATTTTGAACTAAATCTAATTTTAATTCCAATATATATATATATATATATATATATTGGCAAAAAATTAATACAAACTCACTTTTTACTGTTATAGGACTTGAATTCTATACTTAAATCCTATATTTTCGGAGGCCATAAAGTACCGACTACAAGATCTTTCGTCCAATATGTTGATTTGGTACTCTAAAATGCAACATAAGTATAATTCTTCCGACACAAAAGCAGGATAAATGCCTTCATTTTTTGTTGTGAGGGCAAAAATGTAAAATGTGGTATTTTTATCAATTGAGAGAGGACATATTTAAAAAATTTACAAATTGAGTGGGGTTATTTAAATTTTAACAAAAAGTATAGATGATCATGCAAATAGAAAAAAATCCAAGACCCTTAACCAGGTCCGTGCCTGATCAAATGTCAAAATAAGGCGAATAAATTACAAAAAGTTCAAATAGTTACAAACCTACCATTCTGCTCTGTTAGGGATGGCAATGGGCTGGGCGGGGCGGGAATCTCATTCTCTATTCTCATTTTTAGTAATTTTTTTCATCTCTATTCTCGCTCCCATCTCCGTTTGAAATTTCACTTTAATCTCCGTACCCGCCCCGCCCTGCCCTCTCGCCCCGCAATCCCATCCCCGTTTAAAATACACTATACTTTTTTTAATACATAATTTTTCTTATTTTTAGAAATATGTTTATATATACTTAATATAATTTATTAATATATCATAATATATAAAGGTATTTTAATAAATATACACTCTAAATGGCAAAGTGGGACGTGTTTACCCTATCCCTTTCTTGTCCTTACCTCGCCGGGTTTTCAAAAATTACCCCCGTTCCCATCCCGTTTGCATAAAAGGGTCCCCAAATCCGCCCTAAACGGGTTAGGGTGGGGTGAGGATGGGGAATTTGCCATCTCCAGCTCTGTTCGGTTGCTAAGAAAATGTGAACAGGTTTGGTGAATTTTTTTATTTTTTATTTTTCTTTTTCTTTTTTTCTTTTTTCAATTCTTCACTTTCTAAAATCTTTTGCTGAAAAAAAAAAAAAGTTTGTATCAAACCAGCTTTCACAGTTATTTAATTGTAGAATTATCACTTTTCTTTACCGTCAACGTTCCCCAATTCCTTTAATTTCCCCAAAAAACAAAAAAAAAAAAACAAAAAAAAAAAAATACCCTTGTCCAATATAACACAACTTTAATATATTCCACCCAAAAGAAAACATCTAAATTTGCTAATAAGTAAAGCAAAAGTATCACAAATTCTTGAACTTTTGGTCCAATTTTCTCATAACTGAAGATACAAAACACGAAATCATCCTGCCTAAAGAACGATTTTATTTATTTATTTATTTTTATTTTATATATATATATGCAATTTTCTCGAGAATCAAACAGTCCGGTCTCTAATCAGTGTTGCTCGGTTGCAGTGTTACTGAATATTTGTCACTACCATTCATTAGCTGGAAGCAACTCCTATTTACATAATAGTGAGATAAAACATTTTGTTCATGAATCAAAAGTGTTGAGATATTACAGAACTGAGAAAGAGGCAAAAAAGGGAACATCGAGCGCATAAATATATATAACTTACCATAATAAAATACAAATATGTATGTGAGGATGCGGCAAGTGGCATGGGCCGGATATGGATCGCGGAAACGAGATCGGGTCGAATGATTGAAGTAGGATCCATGCCAAAGCACCCTGGAATGGGCCGAACCTGGGGGGTCCACCGAGGAAGGTCAAGCCCATTGCAAGACCCAGCCCAGAAGGAAGAGAGCTTTCGGATATAAGCCCAATGTAATTGGTTAACTGCAAAAAAGGTCATGGCCTATAAATAGATCATGACGGGTGGAAAGTGGAAAAAAGGCCAGAGAGAGAGAGAGAAGAAACGAAATCTTGTATCTTCAATTGGCGCCGTCTGTGGGAAGCGAGGACGAAAATCAATTCGAGCCCGATCAGTACCATATTAGTTCAATCGAGTTTATGAATACGCAGTGTGATTTCTGGAAGTTGAATCCAGATCAGTGAGATTGTAGTCTGTTCCGAGAGAATTCTTGCTTATTGTGGATTCTGAGGCATTTGCTTTGGAATGACGCAATTGTGATTTGCTCAGTTGCAGTCAGATCCGACGAGTTTGAAGCTAGAAAAGTTTAGATCTAACAAACAGCGATCACGATTCGGTGAAGTTAAGCCCAGATCTAGCAGAGTTTACATCGGTAAAGCTTAGATCTGTTTCGAAGTTCGTAATTCATGCCTTTGCTTCGATCCGGAATCATGATAGGGGGTGACAACTCTAATACGGTTGAGAACGTCCAGCAAGTGAAACTTGATGAGTTGATGAACATGATCGAAGCTCTCCGGAGAGAAAATGCGGATCTAAGGAATGAAATGTAGCGTCGGGAAGCTCCAGTAATTCCACGACCACTCCCGGTAGGAAAAGAAGGTGCACGTACCGATGCAGCACATCACGGTGAGGAGGTTGGAAACAATCTAGTAGATCCTCACCACGAGGAAATCCGGCGAGACGGTTTGCCGCCAAAACTTCGTCGTATGGATGATCGTGAAGGATCGACTCACGTGGATCCACGGCGTGAGCAGATCAGGCGAAACGAAGCAATGACTTTTGATCCACATCAAGAAATGCTCAGCCAAGGTGAAGCGACATAGTTGATTCGTCAGAAAGCTATGCCTCCATGGCGCAAGGACTTCATTGAGGATAGATCATTCGATCCGACCTATCGGTCTTCCATGACGACGTTCGACTATCACAGCTCAGAAAGGAGATCAGTAGACCAGAGAGCAGCCGCGGGGTTCCAGAGGGAAAATGAAGCACTCCGTTCAGCAGCTCGAACGGTGGATTCACCGTTCACCGATGAGATTCTGAATGCTCCGAGTCCGAAGAAATTTTCCATGCCCGTTTTCATTCTATTCGACGGAACGACTGATCCGATCGATCAAGTGTATCACATCTAGCTGAAAATGGCTCTGAACACTGAGAATGATTCTTTGATGTTCAAGTGCTTTCCTACGAGTTTGGCCGAACCAGCTCTGAATTGGTTCAAGAACCTGCCGAGGGGTTCGGTGGATAGTTTCCGAAGCCTGTGCGATTGGTTCATAAGCCAATACTATGGAAACAAGCGTCCAGCGAAAGATATTTCGAGCTTATTCACAATGAAGCAACACGCTGAAGAGCGTCTCCAGGCTTTCCTAACCAAGTTTAACCTTACCAAAAGCATGGTTATCGAATGTCACCCTTCAACGGCAGTTCAGGCATTCATACTGGCCATGAATCGTGGCACCCTATTCCACACAAGCTTGGTGGTCAACACGCCGAAGACTATGGATGAACTTAACGAAAGAGCCGATGGATTTGTGCGCTTGGAAGAAGAAGAGGTAGCAAACGCTCCTCGTGGAAATCCGAGAAGAGGCCCAGAGAGGAAGAGCTGATCACTCCATTGAAAGTTACCCTAGCAAGACTGTTCCAAGAAAATAAAGATAAGTTCCGACCTCCTTTACCAATCAGACAACCTCTGGAACAGAGGGATCAGTCTAAACACTGTGCATTTCATTCTGATTTTGGCCACCAGACTAACGAATACAGGAACCTAAGGAGACAGGTAGAGACGCTGATAGCCAGAGGGGAGTTCGCAAGTTATATTCAAGGACCAGCGGTAGAGCAGAACCGGCCAATGGAGCATGTGAAGAAGAATCAGAAGTCGAATTCTCACAACACACAACCAGTTCGAGTAATTAATGCAATTCACGGTCGGCCAGAACCTGCTGAGGAATCAGATGAACTGCTTCGAACACGCCTTCGTTAGGCACGGATGAAGAGAAGGATAGGCAATGTAAACACTCTGCACCAGCAGAGCGCATCAACGCAGATAAAGTTTGACGCAACAGACTTGTTGTGTGTTCAGACCCCTCATGAGGACCCTCTGGTCGTAAGTTTGACAGTGACCAAATGCTTGGTGCGCAGAGTTCTAATTGACCCTGGAAGTAGTGCGAACATCATGCCAAAGATACATTCGATCGGCTCGAGATCAAACAGGAACAGCTGAAATCCACCGGGAATCCATTATTAGGGTTTGATGGAAAGCGAGTGGAGCCCGTCGGCACGGTGGAGGTAGCAGTACATGCTGCCGAGAGGGTTTTGATGGAAACTTTTGTAGTTGTTGAAATTCATCCCTCTTATAATCTTCTGATGGGCAGAGGGTGGATCCACAGAGTTCGAGGTGTTCCTTCCACTCTGCATCAGGTAATGAGATGCCTGGCACCGGATGGAACCAAAGTGATTGACATTCATGGAGACCAAGTTGCAGCAAAAGAATGTTACTCTGTAACGATGAAACATGCCGAAAAGGGGAAAGCTCACATTCGTTCAGTAAGTCCGAGATAGCAATTACAGGAGCTTCCCTCCAAGCAGAATGGAGAGAAGGAACCAGTAGGCTTGACTGAAGAACCCCTACTTGATGTGCAGATCGATCAGTTTCGACCAGAACGAACAACCAGAGTAGGGGAGAGACTCGTTGAGGAGGAAAAGCATGAATTAGTTGATTTTTTGTCTCAAAATGCAGATGTGTTCGCATGGAGTCACCTAGACATGCCCGGGATCGATCCTTCGGTATCCTGTCATTCTTTGAACGTTAACCCCAATGCAAAACCTGTAAAGCAGAAGCATCGACGGTTTGCCCTCGAGCGCAACCGAATTATTGCCGAGGAAGTTGATAACTTCTTGATGCGGGGTTCGTAAGAGAAGTGTACTACCCCGACTGGCTATCGAATGTGGTCGTTGTGTAAAAGAAAAATGGGAAATGGCGCGTATGCATTGATTTTACCAATTTAAACAAAGCTTGTCCGAAGGATAGCTTCCCGCTGCCAAAGATTGATCAGATGGTGGATGCAACTACTGGATATGAACGCTTGACCTTTTTAGATGCTTATTCGGGTTATAATCAGATCCCCATGGACCCCACTGATGAAGAAAAAACTTCTTTCGTTACTGAACGCGGGACGTATTGCTACAAAGTTATGCTGTTCGGACTAAAAAACGCCGGTGCAACTTACCAAAGACTTATTAGCAAGATTTTTAAGGAACAAATAGGGAAGACAGTGGAGGCTTACATTGATGATATGGTGGTCAAAAGTAAGAAGAAAGCTGATCATGTGCAGCATCTTCGAGGCGTGTTTGATGTTTTGCGGCGATATGGAATGAAGCTCAATCCGACCAAGTGCTCGTTCGGTGTAAGTTCAGGCCAATTCCTAGGGCACGTGGTTAACCTTAGAGGCATCGAGGCAAGCCCTGCCCAAGCAGATGCTCTGACTAAGAATGTCGAGCCAACGACAATCAAAGAAGTGCAAACACTTACGGGACGGATTGCTGCATTGAGCCGTTTCATTTCCAAATTGTCAGATCGATGCAAACCATTTTTTGACACAATCCGGAGCCACGGCAGGCAGGTTTGGGGAGATGAACAACGCCTAGCGTTAACTGCTCTGAAAAAATATATGCAGAACCTTCCGGTACTGTCAGCTCCAGAATCAGGCAAAAAACTGTTTTTGTATCTCGGAGTGTCCAGCATCGCGACAAGTGGCGTTCTGGTCCGCTATGCAGAAGGGAAGCAATATCCAGTGTTCTATGTTAGCAAGACAATGACTGAGGCCGAAAGACGTTATTCAAAGGCAGAGCGGATGATACTCTCGCTAGTGCATGCGAAAAGAAAGCTCAGGCATTATTTTGAATCCCATTCTATTATCGTTCTAACCACTTTCCCTATCAGAATAATCCTGCACAAACCAGATCTCTCCGGAAGAATGACGAAGTGGGCTATAGAGTTAAGCTCATTTGATATCACATACGAACCTAGAACAGCAGTCAAAGGGCAGGCGGTGGCAGATTTTTTACTAGAATGTGATTCAGAGGACGTGGAGGAGGATCTTTGTAAGTGCTTATGGAAACTCTTCGTTTATGGATCCTCAAATCAGATGGGTGCAGGCATTGGGATCAAATTGCAGACGCCAAAAGGTACAGCCTTAAGCCAAGCGCTTCGGCTTGAATTCGCAGCCACGAACAATGAGGCAGAGTATGAAGCGTTGCTGGCAGGAATAAAGCTTGCCAAAGAACTTAAGGTCAGGAATTTGAATGTTTTTAGTGACTCACAGTTAGTCGTTCGACAGGTGAGGGGTGAGTATGAAACCAAGGATGAAATGATGGAAGCATATCGTTCTGTTGTTATGCGGGAAGTGAAAAGCTTTGAAAAAATTGAATTCATTCAAATTCCAAGGGAGTATAACGAAGATGCCGACAGGCTAGCATGTAGCGCCTCGGGTTCTGGAGAAACATTGGCAAGGGTGGTTCCAGTGAGAAAACCCATTCACCATGGCATATGGAACCGAGGCAGTTATACCAGTCGAGCACTTAGTTTCGACTGTTCGAAGCTTGCCATGGAACCGTGAGCATAATGACAGTATGCTAAGGTTTAACCTCGATTTGCTGGAAGAAAAAAGAGACGCAGCAGCGGTAAGGCTCGCATCTTACCAGCAAACGCTCGCGAACAGCCATAACAGGAAAGTAAAGCACAGAGACTTTAGGCCAGGTGACCTGGTTCTGAAAAAAAAGATAGGGATAGTCAAAAAGATGATGCCACCATGGGAAGACCCATACAGAATTGCAGAGGCCATAGGAAAAAGCGCATATACCTTAGAAACCATGGCCGGAAGGCTGGTTAACAAGCCTTGGAATACTACTTCTCTAAAGAGGTATTATCAATAAAAAGTTGAGATTCAGCACTGAATTTTGTTTATTTTAAATTGAAAACAGTTGAATGTATGAGTTTCTGAGATTTATAAGGATTGCACTCCTCTCTAAAATCTTAAGCAAATAAGTGGCAGCTGGCACTATGAGCCGAACGCCAAACACTTGCTAAGAAAAATAAAAGGCCAAGTGGCAAATGGCATTCTAGCCAAGCGCCAGGCACCTAAGCAAATAAGTGGCAGCTGGCACTATGAGCCGAACGCCAAACACTTGCTAAGAAAAATAAAAGGCCAAGTGGCAAGTGGCATTCTAGCCAAGCGCCAGGCACCTAAGCAAATAAGTGGCAGCTGGCACTATGAGCCGAACGCCAAACACTTGCTAAGAAAAATAAAAGGCCAAGTGGCAAGTGGCATTCTAGCCAAGCGTCAGGCACCTAAGCAAATAAGTGGCAGCTGACACTATGAGCCGAATGCCAAACACTTGCTAAGAAAAATAAAAGGCCAAGTGGCAAGAGGCATTCCAGCGGAGCGCCAGACACCTATTCAAAGTAAGTGGCAGTTGGCACTATGAGCCGAACGCCAAACACTTGCTAAAGAAAATTAGAGGGCAAAGTGGCAAGTGGCATTCTAGCCGAACGCCGGACACCTGAGCAAAGTATGCGGCAATTGGCACAATGATCCGAACGCCAAACACTTGCCCAAAAAAAAAAAAAAAAGAGGGAAGTTGACACAAAAAGTTTGATCAGAAGTCAGCCATCTCATTAATAAGGTACAGAGGGTTACAAAAAATGAGATATAAAGATGGCGAATATGCCAAAGTCAGTACATTAAAAAAAAAAAAAAAAGAAGTTCTAACTAAGAGGCGTTTGCTTTGTCGGCCTCTTGATGATGTTGGGCTACCTCCTCGTTGTTGGTGATGTCGCCATCCTCACGAGGTGGAGAGTCGAGGTGAATGACAGAATCGTTCTGTTGAGTCCTACCCTCAACAGCGTTGGAAGAATCATTCTGCTGGGGGTTATCTTCAGCAGTAACGGCAGATGGAGTGAGAGTGGACAGAGGAAGAATGTCCAAAGTCAGAGCGGCAGGAGGAGTAGGAGTGATCCGAGAAGACGCAATCTCCTGACATTCATCAAATATGCCCTCGGCAGCGATGGAGTCTAGATCGGTATAAACACCAGGAGGGTCAATATCCAGGTCCTTATCAACATCATCAGGGGTAGAGCCAGTCTGACCCTCATCCGGGACGCGATCGGCGTAACCCTCACGGAACCTCTGAGCATATCTGAGAGCTCCAACTCTAGAGAACCGAGCATGCAGAGCCAGCATACCACCATTTACCCTGCTGATGGTATCAAGTAAAACATTACGCTTGTCCAAGGCCCTTTTCTCAAAGGTCATCCGAGCGGATTGCTCATCACTCAGAAGGCGCAGCAGTTCTTCCTTCTCGGCCCTAAGGGATTCCCGCTCAGTCTGCCAGACGCTCTTTTCAAGCTGCAGAGCATTCCTCTCATCCTGAAGAGAGTCAGTCTCCTTCCTCAGCAAATCCCTCTTTTTTTCAGTTTTACCAAGTTGAACCATCAACCCGGTCTTCTGAGCAGCTAAATTATCATTCTCCTTGTTCACCGCGCTAAGGCTGTCAGAAAGCGCGCGGACCTTGGCATTCACCTGCTCAACTTGCTTCTGCATAGCCATCATCCCGTACAAGGTCTGTAGAGATATACAGGACAACTGGTTAAGCCGAGCAGATGGTTAGAAGAAAATAAGTGTCAAGAGTATGTAAAGATTTATTGACTAAGGGGTAGAAGTTACCTCCATGGCGGATAAGGGGAATCGGCTGAACACCTCCCTCTGAGACAGACCTTTGGCTACCTCGATGTCCTTGGGAGTCCACATACTCCTGTAGTAAGTCATTGCGGTCTGACAATCTTTGAACATGGTCTCAGTTGGTTTCACAGACAATCCGTCCGTTGGCGCCGTTCCAGAAGTGGAGGCATGCCCAGAAGGGGTGAGGGGCCTAGCTTGGGGAGGTCTCGCCAGGGATATCACGTTCAGCCTAGAGGGCCTAACCCTCTGAGACAAGAGAATGTCATCAATGCTGAGGGCACTGTCAGGTTGATGCCTCTTTCCTCTGGCCTTTTCCCATGTTGAAGCAGCAGTAGAACCAGGAGGATTGTTGACAGAGTGGGCAACGCTCAGACTGGCAGTCGCCGTGTTGGCGACCGGGTCAGCAGCCGTCATGGATGGATCGGTGGAAGGAGTGGTATCAGAAAGGGTAGCGGAGGAAGATGCTGAAGCCGGTGAGGAATTTGGTGCAGGGGTGGTAACAGGCCTGGGGGCAGTTTTCTTCCTGCCGAAGGAAGGGATCTGGAGTTGGCTCATTGTCTTGCCGAGGACTGAGATATCGAGGAGATTATCTAAGGTGAGAAGGTCCGAGCAAGAGGGAACGTTGGTCAGAACGTACCGCTTCAAGTAGTTATCCCTATCCCTGCACACACTGCAGCTCAAGTCATCACAAGGAATGCCTAAGGAATGGCATAAGAAAGAACAAAAACGAGGAATGCAAATCTCGCAAGGACAGTCACTGTGACACCCCCACATTTTTCACGCATAAGTTGATTAGGCTTATACACGAAAAACGAGGGATATCAAAAACAATTGGCAACATACAAGCATGGAATACAAAATGATAATAATAAAGGAATGTAGACAGGAAAGGAACACTAAATAATACAACATCCATCCATCCTTTACTTAATACAGTACTCCATTACAACTTGGAAATCCTATGTCAAGGATCCCTAAATATAAACCTGAGAGTTCAACGTCAAAAGTAAATAAAAACTGAAACTGAAGTAATACATAAAACTTCTACCCTGAACTGGATCGTAAGAGTAGATGAGTTCGGATGGTGGTCCCACACTGCTAACCTCAACCTTGGAACGGGTACTGACCGTATCCTGAAATAACAACAATGGTGGGTCAACCCCACGAGCAAGTCCT